CGGCTCATGGCCAGCTTTTCATCCATCAGTGCCCCCAAGTCCCTCTGGGCAGGGCTGCTCTCCATCCTTTCTTCCCCCAGCCTGTATGGATACTGGGGGTTGCCCCAACCCAGGTGCAGGACCTTGCACTTGGCCTTGTTGAACCTCATGAGGTTCACACGGGCCCAGTTCTTGAGTTTGTCCAGGTACCTCTGGATGCCATCCTGTCCCTCAGGCGTGTCAACTGCACCACTCAGCTTGGTGTCATCTGCAAACTTGCTGAGGGTGCACTCGATCCCACCGGTGTGGGACCTTGTGAGAGGGTGATGGGTGTCCCACCCAGGCGGTGCCGTGGGTCTGCCCTTGCTGTCCTGGCTCCGGGTGATCCCGCTGTTTTCCTCTTCCAGCACATGAGCAGCCGGAGGCACAAAGACAGGCTGGCGGGGAAGCCACCCAAGCCCAAGTACAGCCCCTACAACAAGCTGCAGAAGAATGCTGCCCTCGCAGTGAGTATTCTCAAGGTATCTGTCTCCCTGCAAACTACCCGCTTGGTTTCCTCTCCGAAACGTCGCTTGCCACGTTGGCCATCTCTTGCAATGAGACACAGGGGCTGCTTTTCTGAAAGCCTCACTTTCCGTGATTCCGCGCTTTCCACCCTTGGGGAGGGTAGGCTGCCGCGGTGAGGAGGAGCTTCGCGTCTTTATTCGTGGGAAGGAAAGCACGGGAATAACTCACGAGTCCTCTGGCAGCAGCTTTCACAACTGCAGCATTTGTGATTCTTCCACCTGGTCTGCGATTTCTGAACGGGAGAGCTGTGATGGGTGGGTGCTTGGGGCTGGCACAGCTCAGTTAAACCAAGCCCAAGCATTTTGTTTGCAGAGACACGAGCCTCCCTGCCTAGTTTAGCAGAGAGTTTGGTAGCAAATGTCATCGCAGGGCACCAGAGGAATGCACTGATGCAGGGAACAGCCCAACCATTGCAAAAGCCAGGTCTCTGGGTCAGCGTGATGGGGCTGAGGACCTCCCTGCGGAGGTCATTGCTACTGGGGCATCCCTGCGTGCTCTGACCCAGCGTGGCTGAGCCCAGGAACCGGGGCTGTGGGACGGCGTGCGTGTTGGGTCGGGGCCAGGGGCTGCTTTTTCTGTGGAGACGTGCTGAGAGCTCAGCTGAAAGCGAACGTGGGCAGGGCCTGATGCAGGGCTGCCTGTTTGGCCCAGGGAGCTGGGGCTGGGGGCTCTCCTGCAGCCGGGTGCCTCACGGTGTCTCCTCCTCCCTCCCTGCAGTCCAAGCTGGCTTTGCAGAAGCATCTCACCAAAACCCTGGCCACCCGCTTCCTGCCGAGCCCGCTCACCGCCGCCGCCGTCTGCGCCATGCCTGGCCCCCTCGCCCTGAGACCAGCCGCTGCCACCACCCTCTTCCAAGCCCCCATCCTCGGACCAGCCCTTTTCCGAACGCCGCCAGCCCACGTCCGCACCACGCCAGGCCCCATTGTCTTTGCACCCTACTAGAGCTGCTTGCCCGCCGAGGGTCCATCCGCCGTGGACCGGGCTGTACGGTGCGGGGCGGCGCTCCTGGGCAAGCTGCTCTTCTGGCTGGTGGGAAACCGTAGTCGTAGACGTCAACCCCGGCTTCTCCTTTGCTTCCAGCTGGCTCCTTCTGGAGCAAGATACCCTGGCAGAGCCCGGCCAGCCCCACCGAAGGTCCCTGCTGTTCCCCCTGCCCGTGCCGGCCCCGCGCTCAGCAGAGGAGCCCATCACAAGGCTGCGCGGCGCAGGGGAGAGGATGGTGCCCGAGTCACCAGGACCATTTTGTGTCTTGTGGGCAGGGGCTGCCTGTCCTTGGTCCGTGGGTTTCTTGTTTGTCACCCTCCCAGGTGATGGGACTGGAAGAAGAGGAGCTGGCTGGTCCCTGGGAGAAGGAGCATCCCTCTGGCTGGCTGGTCCCTGCCAGCCCAGTGGGAAGGGAACTGTGAAAAGCATCCCAGCCCAGCTCCTACTGGGAGAATCGACCCCAGCACAAGCGGAAAGAGCAATAGCTGAAGCCCAGGGCCGGCGCCTCCTCCCGCCGAAAGCACACTGCCCCCGCCCTGGCCCCCGAGAAGCACACAACTTGGGCGTGCGGCCGGAGACGGGCTCCGTTCCAGCCCAGCAAGGACAGGAGAGCCGGGCCGCCCGGTGCGTGCTCCCTGAGGAGGTGACTCTGTGCTCAGCACCAGCCGTTTGCCTCCGTCCCACCCGCGGGGGACAGCCCTGCCCCTACCTCCCGGGAGATGCTGTGAGCCTGAGTGAATGTCCCTAAAGCACTTTCGGTTCTCCAGTGAAAGGCAATGCTGCTGCTCGCCCCCCGGCCAGCCGCTGTGCCCGGCCATCCAACCCCATCCCCATGAGGAGCTTCCAGGGAGTTACCGATGACTCCCAAAAACAAAGGTGTCCCCGGCAGCCCGGACAATCAGGTACGAAGGAGGAGGCAGCACCTGCAGCCTACGCCTGGCACTCTCCCTTGTGATGCTCCTGTCGTAGCCTGCAGAAAGCTGGGCTCCAGAGGGACCCTGAAGCCGTAGCTCTGCTTTTCACTGTGCTCAGAAAGCCCAGCGATGACCTGGTCTGAAAACTGTAACCACGGCGCTCCGGGTTCCCAGCGCGCTGCTGTAAATAGAAATATGCAGGAAAGTTGCAACCCAAATGGACCTTACGCTGGAGTGACAACCCACCCCGATCTATGCAATCCAGGGGGAGCAGCTCGCCCGCCACGTTTGCTGTCTGCGTTTTACTTTTGGTGCTCATGCTGTCTGTACAGCCAGGAGTGGTGGTCGGAGCAGAAAAAAGCCAACGCAACACTTAGCTCTGTGCAGACGATTCCCTTCCCGTCTCCTGGCCCAGGGTGCTGGCTCAGAGACCTCTGCTGTGGCCCACGTTCCCTCCCAGCCCTTGGGAAGAGGCGGGTTGGTTTGTGCACCTGGGAATCCACACGCACAAGCACACATATCCGACGCCTTGGCCATAAGCAACGCTTGGATTCCAGGAGGATTTTTGCCCAGCGCAATCCACCGATGCTCCAGACAGGGTCCTGGCAACGGGAAGTGAATGGGAATCAGCCAACGGGTAACTCACGCGGCTGAAATGCTTCTGCTTCCCAGAGCTGGCGGAAAGAGCTGGAGCCTCGGGTGAGGGCAGGAAACCGGCACAGAGGGAGCGGGGCGGCACGGGGCCGTCTGCCTGCAGCTGGAGGGCCTGTTTCTCACACCGTGGGCAGCACTGACCCATGGTGCCACTGCTGCGCTCCTGCCGCAGAGGACAGGAGTGCCAGGGAGCCCCTGGGTACAGCTTCATCTGCTCAGGGCCTCTCCTCCCCATCCCAGGGAAGGAGGGAAGTGGAGAGAGGGCACCAGGAGAAGAGCAGCGAGCTTGTATGGAAGGCTGGGGGTAGAGATAACCAAAAGGTCTTACAGTGGTGGTGGGAATGTGGCTCGGAGAGCAGCTGAGGGAAGGAAGGCTCCCAGCAGCAATGGCTTTGACAGGGAGAGGGAGATGGTCCCACAGCCCAGGGGACACGTGCAGCCTGGACCCCGTGCCCCACATGACAAGAGCCTGCACTGGCTGGGGCCCGCGGGTGGCGGGAGGGACGCAGCTCCAACAGCGCCGCAGTGCCAAGCAGCCCGTGGTCAGCCCAGCTCCAGCTCACCCCCTGCTCATCTCACTGTGCTCTTCCCCAGGCCGCCTCACCGGTCACTCCCAGCCCTGGCCGCAGCAGAGAAGGGCGACCTGTCCCCTCCTGCAACGTGCCCACCAGCCTCAGGAGCACGGGGAGCCGGGAGCAGCCGGCTGCGGCCATGCTCCAGCCTGCAGGAGCCGCTTGGCACTGGTGGGTTGTTCCCCTGCATTTTGTTCTAAAAAGCCTGTGCTGGAGCCAGCAGTGGCTGCTCCCGTCACCCCTCCACCAGTGGAGTCCTAATACACTCCTACACTCGGCACTTTAACCCCTTGAAAGCCATTCCTTCTAATAACAATAATACTGCAACAAGCTGCGTAAGAACACGCTCCCTCTATCGCATCCCCTCCCCGCCTCCGGACACCCTCCCTGCTCCTGTGCTATCCAAAGCATTTACTGCCTTCGACTTAGCATATGCTGTACTAGGTAGTAGGGCATAGTCCATAGTGCTCAATAACGTGTGCCCCTCTGTAAATAGCCTTGGAGTGATGTGAACAGTTTGATTCAAAACAAACAAACAAAAAAAACCCCAGAAAAATGGAATAAACAGACTCTAGGGACTTGGCCAGTACCCCTCCTGTAATGTTCATTGTATATTTTTTTGATGTACTATAACTGTTGGGGGAAAAAAAAAAAAAGGAAAATATTTTGATAATCGAATCTCATCGCTTTATTGTGTTACTCAGTAAATAAAAGGAACAAGTATAAACAAGCTGGGGCTTTCTCGTCATTTTTTTTTTTCCTAGATCCAGACTTAGCCGAAGGGAACACATGTTGCTGGGCAGGAGCAGGACACCTTTCCCTTGTCTTGTGGTGGTTCTGAGAGGAGAGTCAGCACCGTAACAGATGGGCAGCGAGAGCTGCCGCAGCCCTAAGCATCAGGGTGTGCAGGCGAAGCACAGTCCCAGCTTCTCCAAGGTCATGACTGAGTCTGCACTCGGGATGAGGGCTGCAGTGTGGTGGATGTGGGCACCCTGCCCTCAGTAACAGCATCTTGCCCTGCTTTGCACTGGGCACTCGCTGGGGCAGGATGACTGAGTATTTCTGCACGTCAAGGAGCTGCGGGCACTGCCAGGTAAGGGGCAATCTGCCGGGGAACACTGCAGCACCACAGAGCCAGCTGGGGTAGGACAAGGGAGAGCTGCTCTGACAGCGGCTGGGCTGGAGGCAGGGCCAGCAAATGGGCTCTTCTCACATGGTATCAGTAAATATAAAACAGAACAGCTCGAGAGAGAAGGAATTGTTTCCTCTGGCCTGGCTGTGCTCAGTTGTGGAGCTGATCCCCACCTGCTGGCCAGCTCTGTGCTGTGCCTCCCCCTCTAGCAGCCTCCAGCTCTCGGGTCTGCCAGCCTGTGCCTGGAGAGCAGCGGGGCATCACTCAGTGATTCCTGGCTTTCCTGGAGCACCTCCAACACCTGCAGGGGCTGGGCAGTGAAAAGAGCGGTCCCTGTCCCAGTGCAGGGAGATGGCTCACCTCTCTCATCCTCAAAGACCATCCCCAGCCCTGGAACGCTCGTTCCTCGTGCCACCGTGCTTCCCGCAGACTCCATGACACCAAACAGGCTCAGCAGGAGATATGTGCAAGGGAAGTAAGGAGGTAACGGAAAGGAGGTGGCAAGGGAAGAGAAGAGAAAACAAGGTTCAGCCATCCATGGATCCGCTGCCCTTGTTCTTGCGACTCAGGGGAAAAGCAGACTTGCTTTGTGGCTGTGTCATCTTACTGGCCAGGTAAATGAATGGCTCGATCAGCGTACGCCGGTCAGCCACAGACACCTCCCACAGCTTCACCTTCTCCCCCTTGGCCCAGTGCTGGGCTGCATCGTGGTCCACCCGGCGCTGCTCCTGCAGGTCACACTTGTTGCCCAAAACCACGATGGTGACCTGTTCAAAAAAAGGCGAGAAGAATCCCTGAAGGTAACTAAATGCAGAGGTGGACAGTGCTGCCTGGCTCTGCCTTGAAGACCCTTGGTGCCAGGCCCAGTCCTGCAGCTAATTCTCCCTCCATGCTAAGGCCTTTTAAAACACATTTCCCAGTGCTCCCTTCTAGCAGCTTCCCCTCCTGTTTGGGTCTGTGTCTCTCAAACCAGCCCCAAAGTGGAAGGACCTGTTGAGCACTGGTACACTCAGAAAGCATCCCCCAACAGTAGCCACTTACAACAGAGTCTTACAGAACAGGGACCCCTGTCTCCATCTTGTGACAAGCTAGAGAAAATGAGTCTCTGAGTGAGAACCTGAACAAGGGGAGCAGATCCCACTCTGCGGCCCCTTTCCCCTGGGTACTCACCTCTTTCTTATCTTTAGACTTGTCAATCTCCTTCTTGAGGAGCTCCACCCGCTTGAAGGACTCCTTGCTGTCAGTGCTATAGACCAGCACGTAGCCATCCGTGCAGGAAAAGCAGTGCTTGGGAAGCTCCAGGCCGTCCCGCAGGCCCCGCGTGTCGTAGAAGCGTACCTGCTCGCGCACCCCCCGGTCCGTCTCAATGGAGCCCACATAAATGTCCTCCTGGGTCTCGATCATCTCGGAGCCTGCCAGAGAGGCGGGGCGGGGGGGCGGGGGGGGCCGGG